GATGTTTCTAACACTTCGTCTATGGTGAGTTGGGTGTCGAGCGCCAGTATTGTTTCTGTCGCGTCTTGCTCAAACTTTTCGCCATAAAGTTGGCTCCAAAACTGATCGATTTCTTCGCTTAGCGAAGAGCTATCTTCCCGACTTTGCACAAAAAGCATGAGAGCATTGTAGCGCTCTTTCACGACTTCCAACGCACGTTGGATGGCAAACTTTTTGCCAGTAATTGTTGCTCTGCGACGGATGATCTCTCGGAGCTGGATCTCTGGTGCCGTTGAAGTATCTAAGGAAGTTAAATAAGTTAAATCGACAGAGGAAATTGTCTTTGAAAGAGTACCGACCGCTGATGTTAAACGGCTCTTGTGCCCACGCAAGTTAGACATGGAGTCGACGTTCAAGACTAGTCGCAACAAACCTATAAGCTAAAAAGGTGATACTTGATTTGATGGTCACTAACGATCACTTGTACGCGAGCGTAACAAATACGAAACGATCTGGTACCGTGTGTGGCAACAAGTGATGAAGAACGCATTGGAAATGGTAATATGCAACTAGGTAGGAAACAGCATGGAAAATTGAGCTGACTTACGGAATGCGACTACAATTACGCTACCACCTAGCGTATGTGAACGAGCGGTTTTGGCCAACCCCGGAGCTGTCGTGCTCTTGGTGTACCTGGGCCTACCCCGTGGCATCAACGGCCTCCCAAAGGGCATCCCGTATTTTGAACGGCCTTCCCAATGGCATTCAACGTATTATAGCTGGGGCCTCCCCAGCAGAAACACCCAAGATTGCCAAAGCTGCTACGTTTACAAGACGACTAGAGCCCCTAACTCCGAGCTCATGCGGGCCCTGACTGGCCGGTGCTACCTGCGAGATTTATCAGAAGGACTTAACGCCGAAAGGACCCTGCCACTGGTCCTTGCCGCGGCACTGGTTCCAATCCATGATCGTAGGAGACTGGGCCTACCGGTAGGCGCACTACGCGCTGGCTGAATGCTGTGCGTTTTGATACCCATACAAAGGCGCAACGACGGGTCGATCTCCACAGCCAAGTCTGCCTTTCGACAGAAACGGCTGGGGCCGATGCACCAATTTTGTGGTGACAGGGCGCTTGAGTAGATGGCATCGGCGCTGGATATAACCCTGCCAACACAAACCCAGGTTGGGGAGGAGGTGCCTGGTCACCCATCTTTAGAGGGGGGCGTTGCGCCGTAGAGTTCTGTGGTAGAATGAGTGGTAACCATGAAGATGGTACGCGGGCATGGTGGGCCTGCCCCCGAAGATACGACATGTATTTTGGCCGATTAGCCGCTTGACCTGACGAGACCTATGAAATAAATATCGAGATCAATTACTCTTGCTACAATACAAACAAAGTACCAACAAACTCATTTAATTCTTCTCTTTCTTCCATTGAATTACCAGGATGTATCGTAAACGTGATCTTAAGGATCATAAGAGATAAAATAGCAGATGACAAAAGTGCACTTCATAAGAGAGTAAACGCTCACGTGGACGACCGTTGCAGCGTACATTATTAGAAGGAATACGACGTGAATATATTCTGACAGAAATATCGTCGCTAGGCGTTGGCCATTCGGGGGAGACGAACTGCGGCTGGTCCGCGTCAATGCATGGCTACGACTGACTGACTTTTGGCGGGAAATAATGCAGACATAGAGAGTGCCACGTTGGCATCTTCGCGGCGGGACCATGTGTCCCGAAGCGCATCGCATCCTTCCAGCCGCGGGGGTGCGCAGGCCAAGATAACGGTCGGACGAATGTCACGACACCTATGTTGCGACAAGTACCAAAAGTACCGACTGGAGGGGGTCGTATTTTGCTTAGCTCGTAGGAGGGGTCGTACTCTCTCAGTGTTCGACAGTGGAAGCAGCCCTTCACCCCGCACTCACCCAGCCATGAAGAGGAAGACTTGCAGAAACAGCAGCAGCAAGACATGTAGCATCGTTCGAAAAAAGTGCTCCACCATGACATGGATCCAGCCACGAAACCACATTTGAAACTAAAGTGTAGCTGGAGTATTGCCTAAGACAACATGGACAATAGTCACCACATTACGTTTACGCAAGATAATTGATGCTAGAGCATCTATAACCCGCTTCCTTCTGAATGAGCTTTCAAATGAATCAGCGAATCAGAAGCGCGCCCGAGGCGTGGCGCACACCAAGGCAGGGGATGTAGTGCAAGCGCATGCTCGAAGCTTTCTACACATCCTATGTTCAACATGAATTGTTCCCTGGAGGTTACGGCCAGTGAAACCTAAAAAACCCGCGTTTTCAAGAAAATGGCTTGAAGAATGCCCCTCCAAAAAAAGTAACAACGGGACTAATTTTTGAACTGCTGACTTTTCAGGAAATTTGGGTACTTTTTAGAAATCCTGTAGTTTGTCATACCGTGTTCAGCTTCCCAAATAAATGAGTTTGAAGGAAGTTATGATCGTTTAAAGGTTGAAAAGTCGCGGTTCCAGAAAAATAGTAACGCAAACCCCCAAAAAAGTAACAACGGGACTAATTTTTGAACTACTGACTTTTCAGGAACGTTGGGTGCTTTTAGAAAGCTTGAATCCTGTAGTTTATTATACGTGTTCAGCTTCCCAAATGAATGACTTTGAAGGAAGTTATGATCGTTTAAAGGTTGAAAAGTCGCATTTGCACAGAAAAAAGTAACAACGTACTAAATTTTTATTAAATTAACTTTCGAAGAATTTTTAGCCATGATTGGAGAGAGAATAATTTGAATTTTTCAAATCAAATCACTTCGGCGCAAAAGCGAATATGAAGGAAGTTATAGCCCTAGAAAGAGGAAGGTAAAAATTGTAGTTTTATTTCTTGCTTAATAACTTATTCATTTCAATTGTTTGAGAACAAATGAGCTTACTTAGAAAGGCTGAGCCTCGTGATCCAAAATCCACCTCCATCTTCCGAAGTACCTGAAATTTAACGAAGAAAAATTCGTCTACATTTCAATATCCCCGTTCGTCACCTGTTCCCGATCAGCAAACGCGCTCCATCGTCAGGGCGCGATTCAGCACATTCAAAACGCGATCAATACGCGTTTCCATTCCTTTGCTACCTCTACTTTTTATATTATTGCACCTATTATTGCACCTATCGGTTTTTTGGGTCTCAGAGGGGGGTCGTATCAAATTGCCCATGAAGGGGGGGGGGGTCGTAAAAAAATTCCAAAAAGTACCAACGATAGGAGTTGACCCTGGTTGGAGGACAAATATCAGGGATGTGATCGATGCTGTGCAGGCTTGGCGGAAGGATATCCACTAACAATGTTTTTGGCTCAGTTGAAATTTCGTGATTCGAAGGGATGCGCCTAGTAATTCCTAGCCACCTCAGTTATTTGTTAGGTTGGTAACTTCGAAATGTCGTTTCTGACTAACGATAATTTATAACATAAGAGATGTATCAAAGCGGATCAACCTAAATCATCTCCTGCATGTGTGTTTGCTTGTGTTTCTCTTGTGCTTCTCCTTTTGTTGCGCAAGGCAAGAAGGCCTACCTCGTAGAACTTTCCCAGGTACGAACCGAAGAATTTGGTGCTCTAGTTTTGACGTCGTCCCGGGAGCTATATGGCGCGAGAGGTAGAGCGTCCCAGCCCAACTCCTCGATTTCTTGTTGCAAGATTTTCGCGACATGTGGTCTTGCATTATCGTGCCATAATTTTTCATTGGCCGAATTTACCCTTTGACGACGCAGAGCTCGGTCCACGCGGGCGGGCTGTTGTGCGCAGGCTTCAGCTGTAACTGTCTGACCCACAATCAGCTCTCCATAGTAGGCCAGTCTTATACTGTTCCACCACACCGTAGCACGACTTTTTCTCAGTGGATGTCCGGTTTCAGAGAGGCCCTCAGCTGCCCATCAGCCGCCAACCACGGTCATCTTCTCGCGTTGTTATTGGGAAACATCTCTTTGTAAAATGCGCTTACAACGAAGTCAAGAACCTTCTTTTCTTGAGTTATGGAAAAGAGTTTTAGTTATGGCAACTAGTACTTGCTCGCGTCGCTCACAATAGGCCGAACCCAATTTTCTATCCTGAAAGGCCTTAAAAGTCGCAAGTAGAAACTTTTGAATTTTTTTGTTGACACGATTAAAGGAGGATTGCACGGAAAGAACGAAGGTCGAAGAAGGGAGAAATCGCCTAGTGGGGAGAGCGGTGAATCTCTTGAGGGTGCGGACAGACACGCAATCGGCATCGAAAGATTTGACCTCGGCGATCTAGCATGGCTCAAAGTTGGCGAGTTCGGCGATCTCCGCCCACCGATCATCTGATCACTCGCCGTAGTTCAATACGTGGCGAGTGATTAGATAGCTGAGAGAGCGTAGTGTTGAAGAGGGCACAGCGATGAGAGTCGCATCAATGCTCAAATCAACGGGCAAGGAAGGGGTCCCATTTCTCGGGTTCTGGGCCGTTTCTCATGGTTTCTTCCTTCTTTCTGTACCACTCACCATCTCTAGTTAATTTGAAATGGGTTGCTTTTCCATCGTAAATTCGTCCTTTAAATATGCAAGTTTTGTGTGATCGAGGACTCAATTCGTTGGCTTTCTTTATTTCTCCGTCATCTAGAGCTAGAGGTCAAATCCACGCTCTTCGCCCTCAACTCCTTTACCTCAGTCTTGGAAGAGCTGAAACCATAGCTGAAAGTGCATCAGAGACTGAGTGTTGCTGCTCAATGTTTTGCACACAATGAGTGAGATTCGTTGGCCGTTTTTCCTTGCTTGAATATATACGCTCAGACGATGTTTTCTGATCAATCATCTTCGAGCAAAAGTTTTGGCTCGAAGAACATCCGCTCAGTGGCGCCTAAGATTTCGCAATATGCGTGCTGAATCGCTCTCTCGAATGAATGGTCTCCCATATTACGAGGTTGTGTTTAAGCTGAGAAACAAAGCACAAACGGAAGCGACATTTCAAAGCTCAACCCTAATATTACGACAAGGTCAAAGAATTCGAAACAAGCACGCCTTCCAACGGATATTTTATCTTTCAAATGAGTCCACGAATATGAAGGGATGTGAAGCACACGGCGCGTCCCAGAGTGGGCCCAGTTGTTGCGCGCGCTTCAACTACGGCTCTCTGAGAAAAAATCTCAATTCAGGAAAAATCAAGAGGATTCTGAAAGGGTCGTGTGAAATTACAGGGAGGAGTACACTATTCAACAAGAAATGCAGCCTTCAGCGTCAAATTCATGAAGCATGTAAGCGTTAAAGTTGAGATTCGCTGAACAATTTTACATTTATTGGAAAGAGACCAGGATATTTAGATTTCATTGCCCCCACTAAACTGTACATGATCGTCCCTAGAAGGAGCTATAGTCGTTCAAAGGAAGTCAATGCTGCGAAAAAATACC